TGGGCAAAGCTTCCCTCTGGGTATCCTGGATGGATCCAGTCCCAAATTCCCACTCCCTGAAGGATTCCTGGGGTTGGAAATGAATCAGGCTGGGGCTGCTGTAGCATTTCCACAGCTGGGGAATGTGGGAATGGCCCAAAATTCCAAATATTCCCCTCACTCTGGGAACCCTGAGCCACCTCCTCCCTCCTCAGGCTTGGGAAGCTGCTCCCAGGGAAAAACAGAGCCTTCCTGCCACATTTTTCATCCCAAAAAATATCCCACTCCCAGCAATGTCCCCCCCACCCCACAGCCACGCTCCTTCCACCACAACAAACCCAGGGCTAAACCTTAATCCCCTTAAGGAAACCTTTTAAGATCCCTGGCCCTTTAAAAAGGTCTGGAAAAAAAAACCTTGAGGAATGATATTTTGGGCAGCAAAAGAGGAGAAACAACTCCAGGAGCACAAAAAGTTTCCCTGGAGCCACAGAATTCTCGTTTCCCATCCCCACAGAGCGCTCCCAGCTTGGCCTGGGTGAACCCTCTGAGTCTCCAAGCAGGGATCAGGGAGGATTCTGAGCCCAGGTACATCCAGCTAAGCTGCTCTTGGCAGAGATCAGAGGCCACACAAGCCACCAGCATCCCCTGGATAAATCCCAAAAGGAAAAAAAAAAAAAATCAACCCCAAAATTCCAGCGAGGTTCGGCAGCGGGAGCAGCCCAGCCAAGCCAGGGGTAGAAAATCGGGGAAAAAAAAGCGAAATTCTCCCAAATTTTGACCTGACAGAGGCAGATCCACCCACCTTCCAAACTCTCCTGAGCATCTGGGGACATGCTCCCGTTCTGGAGCTGGGTGTGCAGGAACTGGATGATGGAGAAGGCCAGACGCTTCTGGTCTGCCATGCTGGGCTCCACCGCTCCTGGCTTCCCAAAAAATCCTGCACAGACACAAACCGGGCATTGAAACACCAAAAGGGAAAAGGGTTCTGCTGCTGCTGCCCCTCAGGGAGGTGCTGAGGAGGTCAGGATGGATTTGGAGTTGGTAGGAACTCCAGAATATTCTTGGTTTTCTTTAGGAATTCTCCAGGTTTGGATTCGCCCTCTGCTTGGCACAACCACGCCAAGGGAAGCACCCAGGGGTGCTGAAATCCCTGGAACCCACCAGGAATAAAAACCTCCCAATTTTCTTGCTCCTTAAACCAAGGGCCAAGAGCAGGAGGAATTTCGGAGGAATTTGGTGGCCCCAAACCAGAGCCAGGAGCAGGAGGAATTTAGAGGGATTTTTGTGGCTCCAAAGCAGAGCCAGGAGCAGGAGGAATTCACAAGAAGAATTTCACAGCTCCAAAGAAGAGCCAAAAAGGAATTTGGTAGCCCCAAACCAGAGCCAAGGAGGAATTTGGCAGCCCCAAACCAGAGCCAAGAACAGGAGGAATTTAGAGGGATTTTGGTGGCCCTAAACCAGAGCCAAAGAGGTATTTGGTGGTCCCAAACTAGATCCAGGAGCAGGAGGAATTCAGGAGGACTTTGGCAGCCCCAAAGCAGAACCAGGAGGAGTTTAGGAGGAATTTGGTGGCCCCAAACCAGAGAAAAGGAGGAATTTGGTAGCCCCAAAGCAGAGGCAGGAGCAGGAGGAACTTGGTGGCCAAAAGAGAGCCAAGAGCAGGAGGAATTTGGTGGCCCTAAACCAAAACCAAGGAGGAATTTGGCAGTCCCAGAGCCAGGAGCAGGAGGGATTTAAGATGAATTTGGTGGCCCCAAAGCAGAGTAAAGGAGGAATTTGGTAGCCCCAAAGCAGAGCCAGGGGCAGGAAGAATTTAGGAAGAATTTGGTGGCCAAACCAGAGGCAGGAGCAGGAGGAATTCAGGAGGAGTTTGGTGGCCCTAAATGAAAACCAAGGAGGATTTTGGTGGCCCCAAAGCAGAGCCAGGAGCAGGAGGGATTTAAGATGAATTTGGTGGCCCCAAAGCAGAGGCAGGAGGAGTTGGGCAGCCCGGGCAGTGCCAGCCCGTCCTGGCAGGGCACAGGGAGGGAAATCCCAAAGCACGGAGAGCCCAACCAGCAGCACCCGGGGCTGGGAATCCCCAGNAATCAGGTCATTAATTAATAAATATTCATCTCTCAAAAAAAAAACCAGGAAAAAAACCTCAATATTTCCACCACACCGGATGGGATTTTTGGGCTGTATCCTCAGATTTTTCAAAACTCAGAGCTGGGCAAAGCTTCCCTCTGGGTATCCTGTATGGAGTTAGTCCTGATTCCCATTCCCTGAGGGATTCTCCCTCATCTCTCAAAAAAAAAAATCAGGAAAAAATCCTAATATTTCCCCTCACACCGGATGGGATTTTTGGGGCTGTATTTTTAAATTTTGCCAAAATTCAGAGCTGGGCAAAGCCTCCCTCTGGATCTCCTGTATGGAGTCAGTCCCAGTTCCCATCCCTTGAGGGATTCTCCCTCATCTTTTAAAAAAATCAGGAAAAAAACCCAATATTTCCCCCACACCAGATGGGATTTTTGGGGCTGTATTTTCAAATTTTGCCAAAACTCAGAGCTGGGCAAAGCTTCCCTCTGGGTATCCTGGATGGAGTCAGTCCCAATTCCTATCCCTTGAGGGATTCTCCCTTATCTCTCAAAAAATACATTAAAAAACCCCAATATTTCCCCCTCACCAGATGGGATTTTTGGGCTGTATTTTTAAATTTTGCCAAAATTCAGAGCTGGGCAAAGCTTCCCTCTGGGTATCCTGTATGGAGTTAGTCCTGATTCCCATTCCCTGAGGGATTCTCCCTCACCTCTCAAAAAAAAAAAAAAAAAAACCAGAAAAAAACCTCAATATTTTCCCCACACCGGATGGGATTTTTGGGCTTTTTGTATTTGTATTTGGGATTTTTGTATTTTCAAATTTTGCAAAAAATTCAGAGTTGGGCAAAGCTTCCCTCTGGGTATCCTGTATGGAGTCAGTCCTGATTCCCATTCCCTGAGGGATTCTCCCTCATCTCTCAAAAAATACAGGAAAAAAATCCCAATATTTCCCTCACACCAGATGGGATTTTTGGGCTGTAATTTCAAATTTTGCAAAAAATTCAGAACTGGGCAAAGCTTCCCTTTGGGTATCCTGGATGGAGTCAGTCCCAATTCCCATACTCTGAGGGATTCTCCCTCATCTCTCAAGAAATACATGAAAAAAAACCCCAATATTTCCCCCACACCAGATGGGATTTTTGGGCTGTATCCTCAGATTTTTCAAAATTCAGAGCTGGGCAAAGCTTCCCTCTGGGTATCCTAAATGGAGTTAGTCCTGATTCCCATTCCCTGAGGGATTCTCCCTTATCTCTCAAAAAATACATTAAAAAAACCCCAATATTTCCCCCACAACGGATGGGATTTTTTGGGCTGTATTTTTAAATTTTGCCGAAACTCAGAGCTGGGCAAAGCTTCCCTCTGGGTATCCTGTATGGAGCCAGTCCTGATTCCCATTCCCTGAGGGATTCTCCCTCATCTCTCAAAAAAAAAATTAGGAAAAAATCCTAGTATTTCCCCCCACACCAGATGGGATTTTTGGGCTGTATTTTTAAATTTTGCCAAAATTCAGAGCTGGGCAAAGCTTCCCTCTGAGTATCCTGGATGAATCCAGTCCCAGTTCCCATCCTCTGAGGGATTCTTCCTCACCTCTCAAAAAAAAAAATCAGGAAAAAACCCCAATATTTCCCCCTCACCAGATGGGATTTTTTGGGCTGTATTTCCAAATTTTGCTGAAATTCAGAGCTGGGCAAAGCTTCCCTCTGGGTATCCTGTATGGAGTCAGTCCCAGTTCCCATCCCTTGAGGGATTCTCCGGGATTCTCCCTTATCTCTCAAAAAAAACAGGAAAAAAATCCCAATATTTCCCCCCACACCAGATGGGATTTTTGGGGCTGTATTTTCAAATTTTGCCAAAATTCAGAGCTGGGCAAAGCTTCCCTCTGGGTATCCTGGATGAATCCAGTACCAGTTTCCATTCCCTGAGGGATTCTCCCTTATCTCTCAAAAAAAACAGGAAAAAAATCCCAATATTTCCCCCCACACCAGATGGGATTTTTGGGGCTGTATTTCCAAATTTTGCCAAAATTCAGAGCTGGGCAAAGCTTCCCTCTGGATCTCCTGGATGGAGTCAGTTCCAGTTCCCATCCCTTGAGGGATTCTCCCTCATCTCTCAAAAAATACATTAAAAAAAACCCAATATTTCCCCCTCACCAGATGGGATTTTTGGGGCTGTATTTCCAAATTTTGCCAAAACTCAGAGCTGGGCAAAGCTTCCCTCTGGGTATCCTGGATGGATCCAGTCCCAAATTCCCACTCCCTGAAGGATTCCTGGGGTTGGAANAGAGAAGAGAAGAGAGAAAAGAGAAAAAAGAAAAGAGAAAAGAGAAAAGAAAAAAGAAAAGAGAAAAGAGAGAAGGGAAAGAGAAAAGAAAAGAGAAAAGAAAAGAGAAAAGAAAAGAGAAAAGAAAAGAGAAAAGAAAAGAGAAAAGAAAAGAGAAAAGAGAAAAAAGAAAAGAGAAAAGAAAAGAGAAAAGAGAAAAAAGAAAAGAGAAAAGAAAAGAGAAAAGAAAAGAGAAAGAAAAGAGAAAAAAAAAGAAAAAAATAGAAAAAAATAGAAAAAATTAGAAAAAAAAATAGAAAAAAAAGAAAAAAAAAAATACAAAAAAAAATAGAAAAAAAGAGAAAAAAAATAGAAAAAAAAATTAGAAAACATTCCCTTTTTTCCTCCAATTCCAGGTGCCAGGGAATTGAGATTTGGTCCCAATTAGCACCAAACCCTCGTTATCCAGCAGCTCCAGGGGTTTGGTACCTTCAGTCTTGAGCCTTTCAGCCTCAGCCACGTCATCTTCTGAGGGGGTGACGGGCTCCGAGCTCGTCCTGGAGCGCTCCAGCTCCTTCCAAGGAGAGGCACAAGCTGAGCTGAGCATTCCCACAATTCCCACCCATTTCCCCAGCCCAAAACCTTCCCCTCCCACACTCTCTGAGGGGAGCAGCAGCCTCCTGGAAAATCCAGAAGAATTCAGGGAAAAGGGAAAACATCCCAGGGCTCTCACTCACCTTCCCTGCCACGGCTTCAAATATTTCGGGGAGGGTCTGGGACACAGCAAGGCTTTGGTCTTCCATGGAGACCCCAAATGCTGTTTCCAGGCACTGGATGGCCACTGGAGAAGGAGAATCAGGTCATTAATTAATAAATATTCATCTCTCAAAAAAAA